TTCAACTTGCTTCTTCTGAGCCAAAGTCATCCCGGACCAGCCCCCAACCTAGATCTGGACAGTGAAAGGAGAAGCAGCACAGTGATCAGCTCATCTCTCTGTCACTCTGAATCAGTTCATTTTAACATGCTGATAGGAAGAGAGAGCAGAGTGACAGAGATGAGCTCATCACTTTGCCGCTTCTCCTTTCACTGCTCAGATCTAGGTTGGGGGCTGGTCCGGGATGACTTGGGCTCAGAAGAAGCAAGTTGAATCAGTTCCTGTTATGTGCAATGAGCATGCTGATAGGAGGAGAGAGCACAGTGACAGAGAGATGAGCTCATCACTACTCTCCTTTCACTGTCCAGATCTAGGTTGGGGTTGGTCCAGGATGACATCAGCTCAGATGTAGTAGGTTGAATCAGTTCATGTTATGTGCAAAGAGCATGCTGATAGGAGGAGTGAGCAACCCCCAACCTAGATCTGGACAGTGAAGGGAGAAGCAGCCCAGTGATCAGCTCATCTCTATGTCACTCTGCTTCCTCCTCCTATCAGCATGCTCTTTACACACAACATGAACGGATTCAATCTACTACTTCTGAGCCCAAGTCATCCCGGACCAGCCCCCAACCTAGATCTGGACAGTGAAAGGAGACACAGCACAGTGATCAGCTCATCTCTCTGTCACTCTGCTCTCTCCTCCTATCAGCATGCTTCTTGTCAGCACACAAACTGATTGGCTCCTTGTGCATCTTTTCCTCTTATACGCCAGCTGTTGGAATTATTTACTTGCAAAAACAAAATCCCTGTTGATGCAGCTAGAAATCGCACTGTTATCAGTTGCACTGTTCCAAGCTATCCCTAAGAACTACAGAGCACCTCCCCCTCTGTGTTATGAAGATATGGAGGAGGGGGTGGGGGGTTCTGTAGCCCTTTCCCAGGGTGACAACACTGAATGTAGACACACTTTAAGAACGACCCAAGTTTGCCTGTTGTGCGAATCCCACCATAGTGGGCCAATCAGTGGAAAGATACGGGAGCCGCTGTTCCCTTCCTCCTCCTGAAAAGCCTCGAAATGTATTTCCTCCACGAATCAGGACAGGCGCCCTTTCACTGTACCGGAAGGCTTGCAGGATTTCCCCGCGCCGCAGATCGATCAGACTGAGAGCGTCATCGCGGGAACAGCTGAGCAGTTGTGTCTGGTCCTGGCCAATGCTGAGAGAGGTGATCTTCTCCTCCAGGGTCACCTCCCGGACACAGTTCTCCGATCTGTACAGGGGAAGGACGAGAACTTTCAGAGTCTGCAGGTTACCCCTCCCCCACACTTCTCCACTCCTCCATACCCCTCCAATCCCTTCCTCATATCACCTGACCTTCGGGTTCCCTCCCCTCCTCCACCCCTTCTCTCACCCCTCTTCCAGTTCACTCCCCCATACATGCTCTCCCTCGCTCCTCCAGTTTCCTGCTCCCCTCTCTAGTCTCCTCCCCTCAACCAGTCTTCTCTAACCCCCCCAAGTCCAATCCCTCCCCCTCCTTCACTTCTCCCTATATGTGCAGTCTTCTCCCTTCCAGTGCTCTCCTCCTTCAGTCTCCTCCCCCTTTCTCCTCCAATCCCCTACCTCAATCTCTGACCTCCCCTGCTCCCTTTCTATCACCTCTTCTCTTTCCCTGCTACCCTCTGCCAGTCTCCTCCCTCTGCTCCCCTCCTATTTAACTCCCCTCCCCCAGTTTCTTCCCCTTTTTCAGCTTACATAGTTCCATAGTTAGTCTGGCTGAAAAAAGACAAAAGTCCATCCAGTGCAACCATTAAAAAAACACAAAAATCAAGAGCCTTCCTCTAGCCACCTCTCCTTTAGTCCCCTTCCTTTTCATTCTCCCCCCCATTCTCTTTCCCTCCCCCAATCTCTCCTTCCTTTTTGCTTCCTCTAGCCACCTCTCCTCCTTTAGTACCTTCTTTTTCCACCCCCCCTCCCCCCATTCTTTTTACCTCCCCCCCCCCTCCAATCTTTTCCCCCCCCCCCCCCTCCCCCATTGTCGTCCCCTCCCCTACCTCCCTCCCCCTAATCTCTCCCCTCCCCTACCTCCCCCATAATCTCTGCCCCTCCCCTACCTCCCTCCCCCTAATTCTCCCCTACCTCCCCCCCCTAATCTCTGCCCCTCCCCTACCTCCCTCCCCCTAATCTCTGCCCCTCCCCTACCTCCCTCCCCCTAATCTCTGCCCCTCCCCTACCTCCCTCCCCCTATCTCTTCCTCTTCCTCTTTTGCTTCCTCTGCTTGCCTTCCTCTAGCCACCTCTCCTCCATTACTCCCCTTTTTTTCCATTCCACTCCCCCATTTTCTTTACCTCCCCTGTTCCCCTTCCCACAAATCTCTTCCCCCCTACCTCCCTCCTCAATCTCTTCTCCTCCCCTACTCCCCCTCCTCCAATCTCCCCCCACCCCACATTTCCCTCCTCTAATCACTTCCCTTTTTTCCTCCTCTGCTTCCTTTCTCTAGCCACCTCTCCTCCTTTAGTCCCCTTATATTCCGTTCCCCTCCTCCATTCTTTTTACCTCCCCTGCACCCCTCCATCAATCTCTTCTCCTCCCCTGTTCCCCTCCATCAATCTCTTCCACTCCCTCCCCCAATCTCTTCTCCTCCCCTGTTCCCCTCCATCAATCTCTTCCCCTCCCTCCATCGCCCAATCTCTTCTCCTCCCCTGTTCCCCTCCATCGATCTCTTCCCCTCCCTCCCTCCCCCAATCTCTTCTCCTCCCCTGTTCCCCTCCATCAATCTCTTCCCCTCCCTCCCTCCCCCAATCTCTTCTCCTCCCCTGTTCCCCTCCATCAATCTCTTCCCCTCCCTCCCTCCCCCAATCTCTTCTCCTCCCCTGTTCCCCTCCATCAATCTCTTCCCCTCCCCTTCCTCCCCCAATCTCTTCTCCTCCCGTTCCCCTCCATTAACCTCTCCCCTCCCCTCCCCTCCCTCCCTCCTCTCCCTCGCCAAATCTCTTCTCCTCCCCTGTTCCCCTCCATCAATCTCTTCCCCTCCCTCCATCCCCCAATCTCTTCTCCTCCCGTTCCCCTCCATCAATCTCTTCCCCTCCCCTCCCTCCCTCCATCCCCCAATCTCTTCTCCTCCCCTGTTCCCCTCCATCAATTTCTTCCCCTTCCCTGCTCCATTCCTCCAGTCTCTTTCCCTCTTCTGTTTCCCCCTCTTAAAATGTTCTCCTCCATAATTCTCCTCTCCCCTTCCCCCTTTAATCTCCTCTCCCCTTCCCCCTTTAATCTATATATATTTCTTTATTACAGGTCAACACTATATGAATTCAATAAAAACAGTGAAAAAGGTAAAAAGAAAGTTAAAAAAAAAATTTACCAAAATCCATTATAGTTTCTGTCATGATGAAAATACAGAGGGTTGCCATTGCTGTTCTGCTTCTAACTACTTGGTTTCTTTGCTAACCCTGTGTCACCGAGCTAGGACAGCTGTGCCAGAAAACCCCTAATTTTCTCATTTCCTGTGGTGTCACCTGGATAGGAAGGGGGTACAGACAGCAATAATCCCAGTATGGGAGGGGTGAGAGCGGCGAATGGTTCATATTGCTTGTGGTCGCAGTGAGAGAGAAGCACCAAGAAGAATGGTCTCAAAGGCCTCGGATCAGCATAAACCTCGTTTATTTGGAAACAGGTTTACGAAATTTAAACAAATGCTTTTTGGGGTAAGACTCCCCCTCTTCGGTGGTTGGAGGCTTGGAACGGTGGTTGGTTATGGTGTTTGGAACATGGAGTATTGGCACTGGATTTCCAAGGAGAAGTCTGGATAACCAGAGATCAAAGTGTTCTCCAAGGTCTCTCCTGGGCTACTTGTAGGGCTGCATTGCCGTCCTGTAGTTTAGCAACTTCACAATAAATATCCTGGGGGGTGTCCCAGGAGGGAGGACCTTTCTGAGATATCCTGTAAGATCTTTCAAGGATGAATGCCAAACAGAACGTCTTTCTTTCACAGGGTTGGGTAAGGTAGCATCACCACAGAAAGCTGAGGATTGGTGCCCTCGGTCTTCTCTAGCAGGGCCACCATTTGGATGCTACAACAGTCGCTTGGTCATTGGATTTCTGTAAGTAGGTCAACTTTCTGTAGGGTCTGTCTGGCATTGCCAGCCGCTGGTCACTGGCACAAGACTTGACCTCAGACAGGGTGATGGAGATTCTGGAGGTCCTAACACAGCAAAAACATGTCACGCTACACCTTCTCATTTTTTGTAGTCAGGCTAGCTTGACCAGTCAAAATAGCTTCTAGAATTCTAGCACTGCTATCTGCCAAAGGTACAGTAGGGGCTAGCGTGGTATCAGCGTGTTCCATTGGAGGCCACAAATCAGCAGTATGGTTGATATCACCATCTTGGTCTTTCCACCTAAAGTGCTCCAGCTTGCCCAGAGTCTGAGTAGTTTCTCTTAGGAGGTCCTATAGCTGGGTAAGTACAGTAGGTGCAGTCAAGTCTGGTATCTCATAGTTTTTCAGTAGTAGGAGGATGATTCTGGTGGGTAGTACTGTGTGGAGCTCAGGCCCCACATGTCTTATGCCAAGGAACCCCACAAGTTGAGCTTGTGCTCGCTTTGCTTGGAGGTGTAAAAAAACCTTTATCCAAGGCATCTCACTCAGGCTTCATAACCAACCAGGCACTGAGCTACAGTTCCAAGTCGTTATTTCTGAAGGGGTCTAAACCCGAAACCAGTTGGACACAATTCTGTATTGACATTTTCAAATTAAGAAGAATTATAATGATCAGAAACATCTGAGACCTTTCCTTACACTTTTCACCAATAGACCTACAGTCCCACCATGAGCAGAACCTCCAGCATCCACACCAATGTCACATTTTCTTGTGCCCCCTTTGGGGAGACTACCCCTCGCCTCCTGTCCAGGTGACACAAAGAACAAGAGAAACCTAAACCCAACACCATTCTATCCAACACTATGAAAATCATTTGGCCTCAGTGACACCTTTCACTGATTGGGTACCTGCTGTCCCAGAACCGTATCTTCTTGTCGTGATGACCACTGATTGTGTACATATCGGAACAAACAACGTCACTGCAATACGAGGAGACTGGAATATGCCGGATACCTGAGGGGATGAGGTGGAGAGTGCAAAAGGAAAAGGTCAGACATTGTATCGGGAACAGGATAGCATGGATCTGTGAAAGCTGAGGGCCCGTTCACAGCTTTGTGTTGCTGCAGCACAAGAACCTTGAGCTCTGAGGGCTCATTCACAGCTTCGTATTGCTGTAACACAAGAACCATGAGCTCTGAGGGCCCATTCACAGCTTTGTATTGCCGCAACACAAGAACCATGAGCTCTGAGGGCCCATTCACAGCTTTGTGTTGCCGTAACACAAGAACCATGAGCTGTGAGGGCCCATTCACAGCTTCGTGTTGCTGTAAAACAAGAACCATGAGCTCTGAGGGCTCATTCACAGCTTTGTGTTGCCTTAACACAAGAACCATGAGCTCTGAGGGCCCATTTACAGCTTTGTGTTGCCGTAACACAAGAACCATGAGCTGTGAGGGCCCATTCACAGCTTCGTGTTCCCGTAACAAAAGAACCATGAGCTCTGAGGGCCCATTCACAGCTTCGTGTTGCCGTAACACAAGAACCATGAGCTCTGAGGGCCCATTCACAGCTTCGTGTTGCCGTAACACAAGAACCATGAGCTCTGAGGGCCCATTCATAGCTTTGTGTTGCGTGTTGCCGTAACACAAGAACCATGAGCTCTGAGGGCTCATTCACAGCTTCGTGTTGCCGTAACACAAGAATCATGAGCTGTGAGGGCCCATTCACAGCTTTATGTTGCCATAACAAAAGAACCATGAGCTCTAAGAACCCATTCACAGCTTTGTGCTGCCATAACACCAGAACCATGAGCTCTGAGGGCCCAATCACAACTTGGTTTTTCCATAATACAAGAAACATGAGCTTTGAGGGTCCATTCATAGCTTTGTAATTCCGTAACACAAGAACCATGAGCTCTAGGGGCCCATGCACTGCTTTGTGCTGCTGTAAAACTAGAACCATGAGCTCTGAGGACCCAATCAAAGCTTCATATTGAGGACAGGTGAGGGGAGGGGCAGAGGAGCTGGGCCAGCACAGTCAGTAATTAGACACTCCCAGAAGAGGAGGGAGGGAGTTTAATTTCCTAGTTCAGGAGACATCGCAAGTGAATAAAAAATTCTGGAAAGAATAAAAAAAAATAATGGAAAGTTGGCGACAGGGTCTCTTTAGCACAGAGTAGCGCATTGCATTGATCGCAACTGCATTATCGCAACACACAGATCGCATGGGCCCACGAGCAGAGCAAACCCTGCTCTAAGTAGCTCTAATGATTAAATATGAATGAGATCAGCAAGAAAACGTTCCATCTTACCATTTACTCTCCACTATGGCTGGCTACAATCAAAGCAGAAATATGATACATTAAATTGACGAATAAAACCTCTCTATCTGGTTATAGGACACACATGTAGTTTATTAAAACTAAAAATGGATACAATGTCTCTGAAGACTCAACAACACACAGGAGAACAAGAGAGGGAGGTTGCACAGCCCAGAGTCATGTTATAAGAGACCGTAGTCCCTCTGCTGTGTAAAATCCAAGGAATAGATTACATGGAGGTGTCCATGGTCCTCAAGGTCTCCATTGCCTTTATTTCGCACTGATACTCCCCTGAGCACCAGCAATGTGCCCCATCATATGTATTTCCCATTAAATCTAAAGCCAATCAAAAGCCATGAAAGCTAGCCTGATGTCATGGGGTGCAGACAAGCCACAAGACAACTCCTATTGTGGGCCTGGAGTCAACTAAATGGGGTCTTTCAGGTGAAATATTGGTCTCCAGAGCAAGAAGTGAGGGGAGATGGCCTTGCTGCGGTCATAGACTCCAATAAAACTCAACAGAGGGTCTACCGAACCCTTCTCAATCCAACACAAAGTTAAAAATCATGGCTGGAATACCATACTGAAGCCCACGTTTAACCAAAACGTTATAACTTCTGCCCACCGGGATTCTGCCTTCTTTGGTGACCCTATGCCTACCTGTGTGTCATGGTGCCATGGGGTGCTACTGGGGAATGGAGTAATGCAAAATCTTCCCAACAGGGACAGAAAAAAAAAACAAAAAAAAAACATGACTGAGAATCCAACCTTTCCTGGTCTACCATAGATACTGAATAACAATTTTTATTGTGTTGGCCTCACATCATAGAGATTTCCCCTCACGTCCTGTCCCGATAACACATTTTAATCTGAACCTTCATGGAGACAGTTTGTCAGTGATCCAAGGACAGGCCATTAGGAATCTCAGCAGCTCTCACTGCTTGGCCAAGAAGGGCAATCTCCATCAAGTCCCCTAAGCAGCAGCAATGTGCCCCATCATATGCTTCTCCCATTAAATCTAACGCCACTCAAAAGCCATGAAAGCTAGCCTGATGTCATGGGGTGCAGACAAGCCACAAGACAACTCCTATTGTGGGCCTGGAGTCAACTAAATGGGGTCTTTCAGGTGAAATATTGGTCTCCAGAGCAAGAAGTGAGGGGAGGTTGCCTCCCTGCGGTTACAGACTCCAATAAAACTCAACAGAGGGTCTACCGAACCCTTCTCTATCCAACACAAAGTAAAAAATCATGGCTGGAATACCATACTGAAGCCCACGTTTAGCCAAAATGTTATAACTTCTGCCCACTGGGATTCTGCCTTCTTTGGTGACCCTATGCCTACCTGTGTGTCATGGGACCATGGGGTGTTACTGGGGCATGGAGTAATGCAAAATCTTCCCAACAGGGACAGAAAAAAAAACACATGACTGAGAATCCAACCTTTCCTGGTGTACCACAGATACTGAGTAACAATTTTTATTGCGTTGGCCTCACATCATAGAGATTTCCCCTCACGTCTTGTTCCGATATCACATTTTAACCTGAACCTTCATGGAGACAGCTTGTCAGTGATCCAAGGACAGGCCATTAGGAATCTAAGCAACCCTCACTGCTGGGCCAAGAAGGGCAATCTCCATAAAGTCCAACTTTATTATTCCAGGACAACTGCAAACAGTCCTACCTGGGACCTTCTCCTCTGATGGGTTTCACCCAAAGTGGGTATAATTTCTGGGTGAAACGCATCCAAGGTGGGCCTCTTTGCAGTTGTCCTGGAATATTATATTTTTACAAGGGTTGGCCCTAACAGTTTGGGGTGAAGAGAAGCATCTACTTGGCGCTTGCACCCAGTCAGCCAAGGGAATGGTTCACTATAGAGCATTTAACAGCAATCTTCAGTAATAAGGGCATTATCCATACATGTCCATTACATCGCCACTGCTTCTGCTGGTGACATCTAGAAGGGTTCAGTTTGAAAATTTTGCAGTCAGATTTGTGGGAGAAGGATAGTCATTTCGGGAGGATGTGTTGCCCAACAAAGATTTACCCAATTACAAATCCTAAACCCAAATAATCTGTATCATTTACTGGCGTCCCAATCACAGGTCTCCGCAGGCAATAGGCCGATAGGACATTTTTACTTCTCTTCCTAAACAGATTTATGATGTATGGTTAGGTCACAGCTTTGACTCACAGGCTGCTTTCTGCAGGTCCCACTCCCGGATGGTCCGGTCCATGCTGCAGGTAACCGCGCGGTTCACTGACATCTTAAACTTGGCCGCTGTCACTTTGCCGGTGTGTCCGGTCAGAGTTTCCTGAAAATTAAAAATGGCGCTACTCAATAAAGAGGATTTGTGCCTTTTCTCTATAAGAATTTGCTGGATAAGCCCCATTTAGAACCCATCTTTGCAAAGCTGGGCCACCAGTCTCACCTAGGAGAGCATTACCTCTCCTCTGCTCTGAAGCTCCTTGAGATATTTGAAGTGCATATCCTAGTAGACTTGAGGGCAGAGAGGGCATCATCTAAGTGGCAATGGTTGTCGGGGTCAACCAATATTTGTCAGGAGATGGTAAGTAGGACTTATTTAGCTTCAAGATTCATACAGCAGTGGGAGGAGAGTGGACCCAATGGTGGGTCATCAGGGGATAGAATGCCTTAACCAGGAAGAGGCAAGCCAGGTACCCATATCACCAATGAAGCTGGAGGGCCCAGTGTGTGAGAGCGGTGTGGCAGAAAACAGGACAACATTGGACTCGCTGCTTAGGTGAGTAGGTGAATTGTTCATAACACCAGCAAAAAAGGCTTTCTGTGCATGACTACTACTGCAAGGTCTATAGAGGCTCCACACACTCAGACCTGCATACTACAAGGTCTATAGAGGCCCTGCTGACTCAGAACAACCTACTGCAATGTCTAAAAAGCCTCCACCCAGTAAGAACTGCCCATTACAAGGTTTATAGAGGCTCCACCCACTCAGACCTGCATACTACAAGGTCTATAGAGGCCCTGCTGACTCAGAACAACCTACTGCAATGTCTAAAAAGCCTCCACCTAGAAAGAACTGCCTATTACAAGGTTTATAGAGGCTCCACTTGCTAAGAACCGCCTATTACAAGGTTTGCAGAGGCTCTGCCCACTCAGAACTTCCTATTGCAAGGTCTATAGAGGCTCCACTCGCTAAGAACTGCCTATTACAAGGTTTGCAGAGGCTCTGCCCACGCAGAACTGCCTACTACAAGGTCTATAGAGGCTCCACTCGCTAAGAACTGCCTACTACAAGGTTTACAGAGGCTCTGCCCACTCAGAACTGCCTACTACACAAGGTCTATTGAGGCTCCACTCACTCAGAACTGCCTACTACAAGGTCTATTGAGGCTCCAGACACTCAGAACTGCCTACTACAAGGTCTATTGAGGGCTCCACCCACTCAGAGCTGACTACTAGAAGGTCTATAGAGATATGTGCAGATATCGTGCTGGGTACATCCTTCTCACCTAGGCCAGGATGCAGAACGTAAAAGTGAAAGGTCTATTGAGGGCTCCACCCACTCAGAACTGCCAACTACAAGGTCTATTGAGGCTCCACCCACTCAGAACTGCCTACTACAAGGTCTATTGAGGCTCCACCCACTCAGAACTGCCTACTACAAGGTCTATTGAGGCTCCACCCACTCAGAACTGCCTACTACAAGGTCTATTGAGGCTCCACCCACTCAGAACTGCCTACTACAAGGTCTATTGAGGCTCCACACACTCAGAACTGCCTACTACAAGGTCTATTGAGGCTCCACACACTCAGAACTGCGTACTACAAGGTCTGAGGCTCCACCCACTCAGAACCGCCTACTACAAGGTCTACGGAGGCTCCACACACTCAAAACCACCTACTACATGGTCTATAGAGGATCCACCCATAGGGATCTACTACAAGGTCTATAGAGATATGTGCAGATATCGTGCTGGGTACATCCTTCTCACCTAGGCCAGGATGCAGAACGTAAAAGTGAAAGGTCTATTGAGGGCTCTACCCACTCAGAACTGCCAACTACAAGGTCTATTGAGGCTCCACACACTCAAAACCACCTACTACAAGGTCTATTGAGGCTCCACCCACTCAGAATTGCCAACTACAAGGTCTATTGAGGCTCCACACACTTAGAACTGCCTACTACAAGGTCTATTGGGGCTCCACACACTCAGAACTGCCTACTACAAGGTCTATTGAGGCTCAACACACTCAGAACTGCATACTACAAGGTCTACTGAGGCTCCATCCACTCAGAACTGCCTACTACAAGGTCTATTGAGGCTCAACACACTCAAAACCACCTACTACAAGGTCTATTGAGGCTCCACCCACTACAAGGTCTATTGAGGCTCCACCCACTCAGAATTGCCTACTACAAGGTCTATTGAGGCTCCACACACTCAGAACTGCCTACTACAAGGTCTATTGAGGCTCCACCCACTCAAAACCACCTACTACAAGGTCTATTGAGGATCCACCCACTCAGAACTGCCTACTAGAAGGTCTATAGAGATATGTGCAGATATCGTGCTGGGTACATCCTTCTCACCTAGGCCAGGATGCAGAAAGTAAAAGTGAAACATTAAAATGTTAAAGAATTATTGTTAAAAAAGAAAATCCAATTGTGTAGAAGGGAGGAGGCACAGGAAAGAAAGTCACATGTATGCATGAAGGTCTGCGACAGATAAATTTTCAAAAAGACATACAATTCAAGACACAACATTCTCCTTGTGAAAGGGAGTAGAGTACAGCACCCTGCCAGCCCCTCCGACAAAACCATGACCTGCCTGCATTGCATAGAGAAGCGCAGAGACCCAGTGACGACATCACCAGATCTAAAATAAGGTATGTCATGAAAATGGAAAAGGATTTATTTGAAGAAAAAAAAAATAATAATAATTATGTTGATTAGGAGGGAGAGAGGAACCAGAGAAGCGGACTCAAATTCAGGGGAAGATGTCTAGGGCCCATTTACTAGCCCGGTACAGATGACATCAGGAAGAGCGAACGTTACCTTGGATCTACCGTCCAGTTTCCAGAGATGAGCTGACCCATTGAATGATGCTGCCAGGAGCTGCAGACCCTGGAGAACAGCACAGCGTATCATCAGATGAACCACATAATGAGATGACATCACACACATTGTATCTGTTCAATCATCAATAATCAGATCAATCAATTCTCTGTATGATGTCATAAAACACATTCTGCCCATACACACAAGGATAGGATTGTTCCAGAAATTAATGATAATAATAATTGTATACATTTATAAAGCTCTGACATATACCGCAGCGCTGTACAGAGGACACTGAGCCGGTCCCATCAGTCTCTGTACAGAGGAGCTTACACTCTAATGTCCCCTCCCCCACAGTCACGTCAGTCTCTGTACCAGAGGAGCTTACACTCTAATGTCCCCTCCCCCACAGTCACATCAGTCTCTGTACCAGAGGAGCTAACACTCTCATGTCCCCTCCCGCACAGTCACATCAGTCTCTGCACCAGAGGATCTTACACTCTTATGTCCCCTCCCCCACAGTCACAGTACCAGAGGAGCTTACACTCTAATGTCCCCTCCCCCACAGTCCCATCAGTCTCTGTACCAGAGGAGCTTACACTCTCATGTCCCCTCCCCCACAGTCAAATTCTCTGTACAGAGGAGCTTACGCTCTAATGTCCCCTCCCCCACAGTCACATCAGTCTCCGTACCAGAGGAGCTTACGCTCTAATGTCCCCTCCCCCGCAGTCCCATCAGTCTCTGTACCAGAGGAGCTTACACTCTCATGTCCCCTCCCCCACAGTCAAATTCTCTGTACAGAGGAGCTTACGCTCTAATGTCCCCTCCCCCACAGTCACATCAGTCTCCGTACCAGAGGAGCTTACGCTCTAATGTCCCCTCCCCCGCAGTCCCATCAGTCTCTGTACCAGAGGAGCTTACACTCTCATGTCCCCTCCCCCACAGTCAAATTCTCTGTACAGAGGAGCTTACGCTCTAATGTCCCCTCCCCCACAGTCACATCAGTCTCCGTACCAGAGGAGCTTACGCTCTAATGTCCCCTCCCCCACAGTCACATCAGTCTCTGTACAGAGGAGCTTACACTCTAATGTCCCCTCCCCCACAGTCACATCAGTCTCTGTACAGAGGAGCTTACACTCTAACGTACAGACAACAAACCATTATTATGGACACATACCGAGGGATCGAACTCTATACTAGTGATTCCTCCATTGCTCCCCTGCAGGGTTTGGTGCATCTGAAGCTGACCTGTATGAAGAAGATAAAATTAAATTCAAAATGAGGCTTCTCATCTTCCTTCACATTCAGAGAAACAATTCATCACATGTGCTAGCACTGGGCAGAAGACAGGTCCATATACAGAGACATCAGAGGTCTATCTGACCCCCCCAGTGTCTCCCTTACCTTCCACTGCATCTAATCAATCACACATAGTGCTTGATTAGCCGCTTCCCTGACCACAGTAGCCGAGGAATGACCTCTGTGAACCTGGAAGTGACCTGATACACATTGCTCTTGGGTTCATTAGTGGCAGAGGAGCCCCTCCTGCACTCTGTGTTTGAGTAGGTTACTGGATCCCTGGGCTCCCGGAACCAGAACCATCAATGTATTTATTGGGATTGGATGTGGTGGACCGACACAAAGTGGCTCATCATTGTGAAGTGGAAGGAAAATGAGAAATGGTTTTCAACATTTGTGACTAATAAATCTGTGAAAAGTGTGGCGGCATTTGTATTCAGCCCCCTTTACTCTGATACCCCTAACTAAAATCTAGTGGAACCAATTGCCTTCAGAAGTCACCTGATTAGTAAATAGAGTCCCCCTGTGTGTCATGTGATCTCAGTATAAATCCAGCTGTTCTGTGAAGCCCTCAGAGGTTTGTTAGAGAACATTAGTGAACAAACAGCATCATGAAGGCCAAGGAACACACCAGACGGGTCAGGGATAAAGTTGTGGAGAAGTTTAAAGCAGGGTTAGGTTACAAAAAAACATCCCAAACTTTGAGCATCTCACAGAGCACTGTTCAATCCATCATCCGAAAATGGAAGGAGTACGGCACAACTGCCAACCTACCAAGACATGGCCGTCCACCTAAACTGACCGGCCGGGCAAGGGGAGCATTCATCAGAGAAGCAGCCAAGAGGTCCATGGGAACTCTGGAGGAGCTGCAGAGAACCACAGCTCAGGTGGGAGAATCTGTCCTCAGGGCAACTATTAGTCGTCACTCCACAAATCTGGCCTTTATGGAAGAGTGACAAGAAGAAGCCATTGTTGGAAGAAAGCCATAAGAAGTCCCGTTTGCAGTTTGGGAGAAGCCATGTGGGGGACACAGCAAACATGGAAGAAGGGGCTCTGATCAGAGGAGAACAACATTTTTGGCCTAAAATCAAAACGCTATGTGTGGTGGAAAACTAACACTGCACATCACTCTGAACACACCATCCCCACCGTGAAACATGGTGGTGGCAGCATCATGTGGTGGGGATGCTTTCCTTCAGAAGGGACAGGGAAGCTGCTCAGAGTTGATGGGAAAATGAATGGAACCAAATACAGGGCACTCTTAGAAGAAAACCTGTTAGAGTCTGCAAAAGACTTGAGACTGGGGCGGAGGTTCCCCTTCCAGCAGGACAACGACCCGAAACATCCAGCCAGAGCTTCAATGGAATGGTTCAGATCAAAGCATCTTCATGTGTTAGAATGGCCCAGTCACAGTCCAGACCCAAATCCAATGGAGGATCTGTGGGCAGACTTGAAAATTGCTGTTCCCAGATGCTCTCCATCCAATCTGACAGCTTGAGGGATTCTGGAAAGAAGAACGGGCAGACATGTCCCTCTCTATATGTGCAAAGCTGGGAAAGACGTCCCCAAAAAGACTCGCAGCTGGAATTGCAGCCACAGGGGGTCCTACAAAGTATGGACTTCGGGGGCGCGAATACAAATGCCGCCACACTTTTCACAGATTTATTGGTCACAAATATTGGAAACCATTTCTCATTTTCCTTCCACTTCCCAATAATGTGCCACTTTGTGTCGGTCCATCACATCCAAGCCCAATAAAATACATTGATGGTTCTGGTTGTCACATGACAACACGGGGAACATTTCAAGGACTATGAATACTTTTTCAAGGTACTGTAAATCAACCATTTATGGGATCATCAAGAACTTCAAGGAGAGAGGTTCGGTTGTTGAGAAGGCTTCAGGGCGCCCAAGATACTACAGGAAGCGCCAGGACCGTCTGCTAAAGTTGACTCAGCTGCAGGATCGGGGCACCACCAGTGCAGAGGTTGCTCAGGAATGGCAGCAGGCAGGTGTGAGGGCATCTGCACACAAAAAGTGAGGAGAAGACTTTTGGAGGATGGCCTGGTGTCAAGAAGGGCAGCAAAGAAGCCACTTGTCTCCAGGAAAAACTTCAATGGCCTGGTGTCAAGAAGGGCAGCAAAGAAGCCACTTGTCTCCAGGAAAAACTTCAGGGACAGACTGATATTCTGCAAAAGGTCCAGGGATTGGACTGCTGAGGACTGGGGGAAAGTCATTTTGTCTGATGAATCCCCTTTCCGATTGTTTGGAGCATCTGGAAAAAAAATTGTTTGGAGAAGAAACAGTGAGTGCTACCATCAGTCCTGTGTCATGCCAACAGTAAAGCATCCTGAGACCATTCATGTGTGGGGTCGCTTCTCAGCCAAGGGAGTGGGCTCACTCATAAGCACACAGCCATGAATAAAGAATGGTCCAAAAGCATCCTCCAAGAGCAACTTTTCCCAACCATCCAAGAACAGTTTGGTGAGGAACAATGCCTTTTCCAGCATGATGGAGCACCTTGCCACAAGGTAAAAAGTGAAAACTAAGTGCCTTGAGGGAACAAAGAATCGAAATTTAGGGTCCATGGCCAGGAAACTCCCCAGACCTTAATCCCATTGAGAACTTGTGGTCAATCTTCAAGAGATTGGTGAACAAAAAAACCCCACGAATTCTAACAAACTCCAAGCGTTGAATATGCAAGAAGGGGCCTCCATTAGTCAGGTTGTGGTCCAGAAGTTAATGGGCAGCATGCCAGGGGGAATTGCAGGGGTCTTGAAAAAGAAGAGTCAACACTGCAAATATGGATTCTTTGCCTAAATTTCATGTCATCGCTAACAAAAGTCTTTGACACTTATGGAATGCTTGTGATTCTACTTCAACATACCAGAGGAACATCTGACAAAAAGATCTAAAAACACTTTGTGAAAAATAATATTTGTGTCCTTCTCAAAACGTTGGGCCAGGACTGTATTCAAATTTAGGGTTATGCCCTCAAAGTCCACTTAGTAGAGTAGAGATTCACCTCCAACGATATACCAGAGCTTCACCATCCGGTCTGCTCCTCCGGTGGCCACCATCCTGGAATTGGGGCTAAATCTGACCGCGTGGATCTCGGAATCGTGGATTTCCTGTAACAGAGTTAATAAAGAGTGATTATTTATCAATTATTATTTCTATGGCGGTTTTTTTTTTTGTCCTTGGCTGGACCTCGAACAAGGCGTTTTATTTGCATAACTCCTCCCAAGAGCCGTCCCGCAGCTTGCATCAGGACTGAGGGCTCTTGAGGAGTACTGAGACAGGTACCACCTCCTGCTGGCCCCTCCCACCAGTCATGCATAATAGAAGAACACTCACTTTACTGTAGAGCACACTTCTAGGTGGACTGCATATGACGCACACCGGAGGCGAGGGATACCAGCGCTCTTCCATCTCGCAATCTGTCCGATCTCTCCTGAAATTGAAAACTACACACAAAGCATGGAGTCACCAAACCGATCAGGGACACAGATGAAGAATTTTACCGGGTCACCCCAACCAGAAGGTGAGATTGCAGTTATAGGTGGAGTCTGGTGGGCAGAGCCGTGCTCTGGCTCCCTAGATCCGTTAGGATATCCATGTGCTGTAAGGAGGAAGCATGCGGCCAGTGTGTGATTTAAAGGGAAGCTACTTCTAGTGAGCAGATGTTTTAAGTTACTAGAACATTTACCTGAATGTAATATTTGATGTAATGTGGTGACATCTTGGCGATTGTCTGGTACTGATCTGGAAGAAGCATGCAGCCAGTGAAGTCAGAACTGCCGATGCGCGGGCTTGGTTGGTGACAGAGCAAACCCTGAAGATTGGCAATGTCTTAGTTCTTCCATGACAGGTTCACATGAAGTGCTACTGAAATAAGCTTGATCAGCCTCAAGGAGGGTCTACTGATTTGAAATGCAGAGTGGTGAGACCTGTGGCCCTCAACGGACCATACGCCAAGTACAAATATTTTCTTTCTCGTGCAACTGAGTAGCGGACAACACAGCTGAAAAACCACCAGCAGACTTCACTAGAGGACTGGAGATTGTCTGCAGCCCAAGAGCCACTTGAAGGACCAGTATCTAAAATCTGTAAATTTATGAAGTGAGACACTCTACCATATAATGGGAACTACGCAACCCGACCAGAAGGAAGAGGTCCACCAGACCAGAATGGAAAAAAAGTCATCACCAGAGGGAAATGACTCCACATGGAAGAAGATATTGAAACTGAGTCGGTTGAGAGGAACAGCAACTGGAATCCACCAATAAACGGGTGGAACAATGAGGACAACGAGAGACCTTATCTTCTAGAGACCAGAATGGAAAAAAAGTCATCACCAGAGGGAAATGACTCCACATGGAAGAAGATATTGAAACTGAGTCGGTTGAGAGGAAGAGCAACTGGAATCCACCAATAAACAGGTGGAACAATGGAGGACAACGAGACCTTATCTTCTAGAGACCAGAATGGAAAAAAAGTCATCACCAAAGGGAAATGACTCCACATGGAAGAAGATATTGACACTGAGTCGGTTGAGAGGAACAGCAACTGGAAACCACCCAAAAACAGGTGGAACAATGGAGGACAACGAGGGACCTTATCTTCTAGAGATCGTCTAGCACAATCTCTAGACAAACAGTTCCCAAAGGGAACCTAGTAATAAAAAAAACAGGTTCAGGCAGGAAAGAACAACTGGTCTGCATGGGAAGGACCAAGGTCTGACATCCCTAACCCTTAGGAATGTGGAGGTAGAACTACGTGACTAAAGGAGGTTTCCAAGCAACCAATCTTGCCAAGTGTGAAAAATCAAGGAATGTACAGCAAGAGTACAACCCAACATGGGCATAAGTGACCCAGAAGGCCATCTAAAATCCAGGGGATTGCTCCGACAAAATCATTGTGATTGAAGAAAGATTGGTATAAGAAAGCCATCATCACAGGGATAGGCCTACAAGGAAGTTAAGCCACAGTCCCAGGCTGGTGAGATGGGAACCACCAAGAGACACTAGAGATGAATGAATGATGTAGTTCCTGTCTAACCCTCACCACGGCCATGATTCTAAAAATGCCCCCCTCCCCTCCTCCATGGTCCAATGAAGCATAAATAGCCTTGGGACAAGGGAAAGAAAACCTGACTAAAAGGCTAAGAGCGTCTGCCTAACTAAGGACAGGGCAAGGGAAAGTATTAGAAGGAACAACCTTCTCTAGGAGCCTGCTGATCAGACTAATTCCACGCGAAGAGATCCCAAGAGATCCTCTGGTCATACTCTGCTTCCAGCAGAGAGTACATGCAGTAGGAAACCAGGGTGTCCCACCTGCTGACAATCCAGAGAGGAAAAGGGCCTTCCAACGATGGTCTCTGCCTGCTGCCTAGGACCTAAGGTGTCCTCAAGTGTGCAAACATCTCCCTTCGGTGCAGACGCTACTGGCTGCAAAGAGAACATTTCATGGCCATGTCCTTGGGGAGGACAGTGAAAGAGCAGCTAAAGCTCTAAGGAACATCTTGTGCAGGGGTCAGGCACTTTACCTCCTGAAGGGAAGATACCACAATATTGATAGGACTTCCAGTAGATTCTGAAGCAGGAAACTTTCTCAATGTAGGATCCTTGGCCTGGATGGAATGTTTTTTTTCAGAAAGAACAGATGGTAGTCTAGGGAATAGGGCTACTCAAGGTAGCAACGTGTCTGCTGTACGGGAGGGAGAAGCCACCTTAATCACCTGAAGAGGCTTAATGGGTACGATAGGGACTACCTTGTCTCCAGAGATAGGACTGCAGGCCTGCTCAGAAATTGAACCCGAAACTTCAGAGAGGGGAGCTGAAAAAGGTTGGGAAAACACAGAACAGCAGGAGGCAATCCCAAGAGGAAGTTCTATGGACAAGGGAGATGGATGGTATGTGGGCCAATTTAGGTTTAACAACCTCACTTACCAACAACAGGTGGTGGATGCAAAACCAGGAAGGCCCTATGTGACAAGATCTTGCAGGAGTTAGGCCCTTGGAGAAAATGCTGAATACAAGGATCCACAAAACTGACTCGCTTTACAGGAAGTCACCTGAGCATCCCACAGTGAGGGTGTCAGGAGTGGGCAACTAGGCTGAACACAAGCTCTTCGAGATAGCAAGAAAGCCCAAGAGACACTGAGGGGTCCAGGACCACACCCACGTAGGGGAAATTTACAGCTGGCACACCGGGTGCATCAGGAATTACCATTAGAAAGGAAAGACCTTGAGGGGACCATGTACCATGAGGGGCTGGTCATTTCCCAGGAACAGGGGGCCTTCTCAAGGAAGGGAGTTGAGGACCAGAAGGAGAACAGCTCCAGGTCTTGAGCTGACAGATGGACTGAAAGATCACATTCCGGGCTGGTCCCACATGTGTCCAGTCCATTGAGGTTCAAGTTCAGCAATGAAAGAGACTGAGGGGCAGTTGTATAAAATACCTACAAAAAAAAAAACATTTCTGGTAAAGGGTTCAACACCAGCAACTTAGGACTTATTTTTCCATAGTACACCATAACATCTACTGATTTTTGTTGAATAATTGGCCATTTACAATTTTATTCAAGTGGATCCCCTTTACCAGTAGCCATGGTTTGAATGAAGGCAAAGTCCACAATTTCCATGGGGTGTATTCATTTTTCCCCACGACAGTTTAAGTTAAAAACCATTAAAAAAAAAAAAAAAAAAAAAGCAGGACTTCCTTTTAAGGCCTGACCTGCAGAGCTCAGATAAGACTCCACCTATAAGTGACACCCAGCACATATTTTGCTGCATTACATATACTCTAATGACAAATAAACTGAGTTACAAATATGCATTTTATACAAACAAAATAAGTTACAACAAAATAAAATGTATATAAAATACATTTTATGTTAAAAATAAATTACAAATAAAAATACCTCATTACAAATAGGCATTTTACACCGTATCTAAAGATGCTACATTAAACAAAATGATATATTAAATAATATAGTGGAATATATTATAAGTATATATTACATTTAAAAAAATGCATTACAAATTGGCATTTTAAATCTAAAGAAGAAAATACGGTTGTAAAATAAAGGAGTAGAATTCAATTAATAATCATAAAAGCAATCAATACTATAAAATGTAAAAAAAAACTTATACAAAATAAACTTAATATTTAATAAAATCTATGTAAAATACACGTGTGTATGTGTGTGTGTATATATATATATATATATATATATATATATATATATATATATATATATATATATATATACACACATACATATATATACACATATATACACACACACACATACAGTGAAGGAAATGTGTATTTTGCTCCCCTGCTGATGTTGAATGTTCGCCCCTCACACAGAAATGATCGGTCTAACAATGGAACACGTTCGCCCCTCACACAGAAAATGATCGGTCTAACAATGGAACGTTCGCCCCTCACACAGAAATGATCGGTCTAACAATGGAATGTTCGCCCCTCACACAGAAATGATCGGTCTAACAATGGAATGTTCGGTGTAACACTGAGAGACAGAATACAACAACAAACTCAGCAGAAATGCGTCTAACAAATGATGACGGATCTGCATGTTCATGAGGGAAAGAAGGATTTGATCCCCTTCACAAAACATGACTTAGTACTTGGTGGCCAATCCCTTGTTGGCAATCACAGAGGTCAGACGTTTCCTGGAGTTGGCCCCCAGGTTCGCACACATCTCAGGAGGGATTTTGGCCCACTCCTCTTGGCAGATCCTCTCCAAGTCATTAAGGTTTGGTGGCTGACGTTTGGAAACTCGAACTTTCAGCTCCCTCCACAGATTTTCAATCGGATGAAGGTCTGGAGACTGGCTAGGCCACTCCAGGACCTTAATGTGCTTCTTCTTGAGCCGCTCCTTTGTTGCCTTGGCCGTGTGTTTTGGGTCATTGTCATGCTGGAACACCCATCCACCACCCATTTTCAATGCCCTGGCTGAGGGAAGAAGGTTCTCACCCAAGATTTGATGGTACATTGCCCCGTCCATCGTCCCTTTGATGCGGTGCAGTTGTACTGTCCCCTTAGCAAAAAAACACCCCCAAAGCAGAATGTTTCCACCACCATGTTTCACAGTTGGGATGGTGTTCTTGGGGTCATAGGCAGCATTCCTCCTCCTCCTCCAAACACGGCGAGTTGAGTTGATGTCAAAGAGCTGGATTTTGGTCTCATCTGACCACAACACTTCCCACCAGTCCTCCTCTGCATCATACAGATGTTCAGTGGCAGACTTCAGACGGGCCTGGACATGGGCTTTCTTGAGCAGAGGGACCTTGCGGGCACTGCAGGATTTCAGTCCTTGTCGGCGTAGTGTGTTACCAATTGTTTTCTTGGTGACTGTGGTCCCAGCTGCCTGGAGATCATTGACAAGATCCTCACGTGTAGTTTCTGGGATGATT